CACCTCTTCCCCTACCACAACCTCAGTCTCTCGCGGCCCTAGCTAGTTGTACTGATGGTTGTCCGTCGTGACCAATAGCACGTATACTTTCCATATGTGAGAGAATAAAATACAGAAGTTTAGTTATCGGAATCGATCCGCACGACAAAAATACAAGAATTAAAGTTTCCTAAGGGTTTGGTAGCCTCTCGAAGATAAGTACAGACATCTCTGTACCGATTCACAAGACTCTACTAAACCTGCTCAGGACCCGTGAGACCTATGTAACCTAGCCTCCAATACCAACTTGTCACGACCAAATATCCTAGCCTGTCATGATGGCGGCTAATGTGGTAGTAGGAAAGCCAACACTACGAGATAATTCCCATACCTTTGCCTCGCGAATCGTCCACCAAATTCCCAAATCTAGCCACAAACAGTACGATACAATTAACACGGGCTAAAGGAAACAATTCCATAAGTAAATACTAAGTTATTAATCAAAAGTAAAAAACTGACTCAAAAGCCGGCCCTGGTCCCACGTCTCGAAATTTGATAGAAGTCACAAAACCTGAAAGCACATTCAACCATGAGTCCAACCATACCAAATTTATCAAAATCCGACACCAAATCGCCACCCAAATCCCCAAATCAAACTCTCCAAATCCCTAGTCTCAAACACTCCATTTACACCTTAAATTCACACCAACTAGGTGGGAAATCAATAGGGAAGCAACATTATTGATAAAAAAAATGAGCACAAGGATCTTACCTAAAGAATCCCATCGAAAATCCTCTCAAGAATCGCTAAAACCCGAGCTCAAAATGTTTGAAATGAAGCAAAATCGCGAACCCTTGTATTTAAGTGTTCTACCTAGAACTTCCGGTTCTCCGGAAACTTAACTGCTTCTGTGGCGTAGCAGAAACGAGCATTCACCAGCATCTACGGCTCCTTCGGTTTCTGCGACCCCTTACTCCGCTCTTGTGGACTTGCTTCTGCGAGCATCCAAGCTGCTTCTGCGGAACCCATCTCCCATGCCTCATTCCGCTTCAGCGGTCCACATGATGTATATGCGATCACGCAGGTGCGGAAATTCCCTCGCATCTGCGGCCACTTACACACTCTCCTCCAAACTTGCACCTACGCAACCCAGGCCGCACCTGCGAGAAAAGCTCCACAGGTGCGGTTATACTAGCAGAGTCCAGCTTCAACAATCTCCCAACTTCAACTTTTGATCTGTTAACCATCCGAACCTCGAGAGCTAAACCAGACATACCAACAAATCCTAAAACACGACACGGACTTAGTCGAGCCCTCAAATCACCTCAACCAACATCAAAAACACGAATCACACCCCAATCCAAGGCTATTGAAGCTAAGGAATTCCAACTTCTACAAACGACGCTGAAACCTATTAAAACACGCCCGATTGACTTCAAAATTTGCACACTAGTCACATGTGATACCACAGACCTACTCCCACTCCCGTAACTCCAATCCGACCCCGATATCAAAAAATCACTCCTGGTCAAAAATTTTAAAAATCCAAATGGCTGACCTCTCCACTGCACCTTCACTGAAGCTATGTCCTTTTACCTCAACTTTCAAACCTGCCTATCCAAAATGGCCATCGGCTCCAAATCATAAGTCAGATCACCATCCAATTGAACCGTGCTGAAATCTAAAACATAAGACAGATTGCCGACATACTTCCGGATCATAGAAACATGAAATATTGGAGGCACACTCGACAAACTAGGTTGCAAGGCAAGCTTGTGAGCCACCTCTCCAATCCTCCGAAGTACCTCAAATGGTCCAATATACCGAGGGCTCAACTTTCCCTTCTTCGCGAACCTTATAACACCCTTCATGGGTGAAACCTTGAGCAAAACCTTCTCCTCAACCATGTAAGCAGCATCACGGACCCTCCTATTGACATAACTCTGTCTAGACTGTGCCATGCGAAACCGCTCTTAAATCAATTTAACCTTATCCAAAGCATCCAGAACCAAGTCAGTACCCAATATGCTAGCCTCATCCGATTCAAACCAACCCAATAGAGATCTACACCGTCTCCCAACCTCATATGGAGCCATCTGAATACTCGACTGATAACTATTGTTGTAGGAAAACTCCACGAGCGGCAGAAACTAATCCCATGAATCCCCAAAATCAATAACACAAGCGCGTAGCATGTCCTCCAATATCTAGATAGTGCGCTCTGATTGTCCGTCCATTTGAGAGTGAAATATTGTGCTTAACTCAACCTGGGTGACCAACTCTCAATGCACGACTCTCTAAACTGCAATGTAAACTACGTACCCGATCTGAAATAATGGACACTGGCAAACCATGAAGGCGAACAATCTCTCAAATGTAAATCTCAGCCAACCTCTATGAAGAATAAGTAGTACCAACTAGAACAAAGTGCGTGGACTTGGTCAGCCGATCCACAATCACCCAAATAGCATTGAACTTCCTCGAAGTCCATGGGATACAAACTACAAAATCCATGGTGATTCGCTCCCATTTGCACTCTGGAATCTCTAACCTCTAAAGCAATCCACCCGGTCTATGATGCTCATACTTTACCTGCTGACAGTTAAGGCATCGAAACACAAACCCCACTATATACTTCTTTATTCTCCTCCACTAATAGTGCTGCCTTAAGTCCTGGTACATCTTCGCGACTGACATGCTGTTGAATTTTGTCACTTTTGATACCAATTACATAGCTCGTCTTTCAAAGCATTTTAGTTAATTCATATGATATTTTGGTGTTTTGTAGTGCACGAGACTTGAAGAACCAAAAACATGGAAAAGAAGTTAAAAATCCATAAAAGGACAGAAATGCGGCAGGTGTGCGACCACATAAGTTATCTGCGAATCGCAAACCCACCGCAGACTGAAGTAGTTCTTTTGGGTATTGAAGAGAAGATTATGCGGTCCATTATGTGGTCACATAACACTTTTGCAGACCGCATAACGTCCGTACAATCACAACTGGAAATATGGCTTAACACTTTTGCGATAAAGTCTGTGATCGCATAATTGCTATGCGGACCGAAGAACTGGAATGCGATGGAGAACTGGGCTTCAAGACCTGAAATATGCGATGCTTGTTTCAATTATGCGGACCACATACATGATATGCGACCATTAGGTCGCAAAAGGGCTCTACACGGGCAATTTAGTCCAATCTTGACCCCAACTTTTAGTCCACAATAAATAGAAGCTTTATGACTTTTTTTATTATTTTGTCTTTTGATTCTAGTATGAGTAGCTAGTTTTAAATACTAAGGTAGTGGATCCTAAATGGGTGTAATGTTAATGGGTTTTTAACATTGAATATATATATATATATATATATATATATATATATATATATATATAATGGTTGGTTGATATTTATTCATTTCTTATGCTTTATTTATTATTGGTGGTTGCAAACATTGACTCATTCCATTTTACTTTATCTTTACTTGGAAAAGTGGGCTAGGGTTTGGTAGAAGTGGATATCAAGAACTCAATGATTTAAACCTTTTTTAATAGAATCGCTTAGGAATATGTGGGTTCTACTTGGCATAAATTGGTTATTCTTAATTGCAACTCTTTTATATTTGGAAAAATCATAAAGAGAAAATACTACCCAACTATTGGAAAATATTGGATAGTCATTTAGAAACCATTTGCATATCAAAAAACCTTCCATTAGAAATATATCATATTAACACCGATAGCATTACATTTCATTGATTAGGACACAACCTTGGTTTCCTTAATAAAATTAATTACATTCTCACAATAAAATAGTTATCTTGTTAATTCACAAATATATCATTCTCTTTTTAAGCTAAAGGAGCAGCATTACGACTTAAGTCATGTTTCACACTATTAAAGTAACCTTTTCACACCTATTCTCTGTGGAATTCGATCCCAACCTTGTTGTTATTATATTTGACAGCTGGAGAGGCAAGGAAATGGATCCAAAATCTACCACCTCTAATTCCATTCATTCTTGTCCTGAACTCACCCGAGCTTTCCTAGCTAAATAGTTCCCGCAAAGCAAGAAGTCTGAACTCCGGGATACAATTTTCTTTTTCAAGGTATTATCGAGAGAGAACCTACATGAGGCATGGGATCGATTCAAGCTATTTTTACTCATGTTGCCGAATCATGGTTTTCCGAATACTATCTTGTTGGAGAAATTTCACATGGGCTTGGATCTTGTGAATCAATCTATAGCCAAAAATGTAGTTGATGGATCTTTTATGGATAAAACATTTGCGAGGATCACACAAATCCTTGACAAAATGGCAAAACATAAGCAAGTTTGGCACTCAGAGGACACCACGGGTGGAATTGCATATGGTACTCCTTCCTTGACCAAAATGATTAAGGAGAACCAAGAGAGAGAGATCAAGTAATCCCTGGGCTTGCCACCAACGCTAATGTGTTGACGAAGATGTTCATTGAAAGCCAAACAAAAAAGGTGAACATGGTGGAAGATGTTCAACCCATATTAAATGAGGATTACGAGGAAAAAAATTATGTCAACAACTCTCAAGGAGGTTATCAAAGGCAACCCTACCAAGGTTCAGGACAATAAAATCAATGAGGCCTAACCCGCAAGGGCAAGGAAACCAACAGTGGCGAAATGACCAAGGTAGTTCAAATCAAGGGAATTGGAGTAACAACAACAATAACTTTTCAAATCGGAGATCAAACCCCTATGTTCCACCAATGGGGCAATATTCCAACTATCCAAGTTGGAAGGAAAGTTCTTCAAGTGAGTCCAAGTTGGAAAACATGCTTGAACGAGTATTGCAAAATCAAGAAAGATCCGACACTTCAATGAAGAATATGACCGATCTTGTGGGTTCTCACACCACATCTATTCAAAAGTTGGAGATGCAAATGAGGTCTATCTAGAGAACAAAATTCGAAGCAGAAGAGCACACTCCCAAGTGACACAATAGTGAACCCAAAAGATAGTGGGAGCGGTCCAACTTTTCATTATATGTCAATCACAACTCGGAGTGGGAAAATACTTCAAGGAGAAAATGAACTAGTGGTCGAAGTGGAAGATTCTAAACAAGAAATTGAGACACATGTTGAGGTGCCAATTGTCGTTGAAGCTGAAAAATTCCCAGAAGAAGTGAAAATTCAAGAAGTGAGCCAGGAAGAGGTTAAGGAAAAGATGAAAGAGACACCAAAAAATCTAGCACCAATTCCTGGACCTCATCCTCCTTTTCCTCAAAGACTTGATAGGAAGGTTGATGATATCAAACTTGAGAAGTTCTATGACATTCTCAAGCAATTATCGGTGAATATTCTATTTGTGGAAGCATTTTAAAAAATGTTGGGTTTTTCTAAGTATTTGAAAGACTTGATCACAAAGAAGAAAACCACCAAGAATGAAGTGGTGAATGTGACTCACCGGGTTAGTTCCATCATTGCAACAACCACCGTTCAAAAGAAAGAAGACCCGAGAGCTTTTACCATTCCATGCACTATTGGGTTGCACAATTTTGCAATAGCTCTTTGTGATAACGGGGCTAGCATCAACTTGACCCCTCTTGCTATTTACAGGCAAGCAGGGATAGGTATTCCAATGCCTACAAGTATAAGGTTTCAAATGGTTGATCGTTCAATAAAGAGACCGGTGGGTATTGTTGATGATGTTCTTGTGAAAGTGGGGAAGTTCCTCCTTCCCGCCGACTTTGTGATCCTTGATTGTGCTGTTGACAAAGAAATCCCTATCATTTTGGGGAGACCCTCCAGTGCTACCGGAAGAGCACTTATGGATTCGAAACGAAATGAGATCAAGTTCCGAGTGAATGACAAAGAGGTTACCTTTTAAGCGAGTAAGGGTATGAAGTTGCCATATGCATATAAAAGCATCTCAGTCACTGATGTGGTTGATGAGGTAGAAGATGCAATCGAGATAAAGATGGAAGAAGAATGCCTTGGTGAGGCGTTGGCAGCTATTTTGGTAAATTTTGATGGTAAAGACATGGAGGGGTACATGGAATCGATGAATGCATTAAAAGTACTTGGGTCCTACACTTATGCACCAAAGAAACTTTCTCTTGACTTAGAGAATAGAGTCACTCCTCCCGCCAAGCCTTCAATTATTGAAGCACCACAACTTGAGCTCAAGCCACTCCCACCGCACTTAAGGTATAAATTTCTTGGCTCTAATGAAACTCTACTGGTAATTGTTTCTTCTTTGTTGAATGATGTGCAGGTAGAACACTTGTTGAATGTCCTGAGGGAGCACAGGCAAGCCATTGGGTGGACAATAGCGGACATCCGAGGGATTCCCGACGGAATTTGTGAGCACAAGATACAATAGGAGCAAGAGATAAAACCAAGCATGGAGCATCAAAGAAGGTTAAATCCTTCGACGCAAGAGGTGGTAAATAAAGAAATCATCAAATAGTTAGATGCCGGGGTGGTCTACCCCATTGCCGGCAGTTCTTGGGTAAGCCCTGCGATGTGTGCCAAAGAGAGGAGGCATGACCGTGATTCAGAATGACAAAAATGAGCTCATCCCAACGAAAACAGTGACCCGGTGGAGAGTTTTCATGGACTACCGGAAGCTAAACTGTGCTACTTGCAAGGACCATTTCCCTATGCCTTTTATTGATCAAATGCTTGATCGGCTAGTGGGAAGGTCATTCTATTACTTCTTGGATGGCTATTCCGGCTATAACCAAATCAACATTGCCTTAGAAGATCAAGAGAAAACAACATTCACATGCATGTATAAGACCTTTGCCTTCATCCATATGCCATTTGGGCTATGCAATGCCCCGGCTACCTTTCAACGGTGCATGATGTCAATCTTCTCGGACATGGTGGAAGATTTCCTAGAGGTGTTTATGGATGACTTCTCTGTAGTAAGTGACTCCTTTGAGCATTGCCTTGAAAACTTGAGACAAGTGCTCAAAAGATATGAAGAAACCAACCTTGTGCTTAACTGGGAAAAGTGCCACTTCATGGTGGAGGAGGGCATTGTTTTGGGCCACAAAATTTCCAACAAGGCATAGAGGTTGACCAGGAAAAGATCAAAATCATTTCCAAGCTTCCTCCACCCATTTTAGTAAAAGGTGTCCAAAGTTTCTTGGGGCATGCCGGTTTCTACAGGTGTTTTATCAAGGACTTCTCAAAAATTGCAAATCCCATGTGCAAGCTCATTGAAAAAGATGCAAAGTTTGTGTTTGACGAGAAGTGTCTCAAAGCTTTTGAGGAATTGAAAGAAAATCTCACCACGACACCTATTATTGTAACAACCAATTGGTCCCTTCCATTTGAACTCATGTGTGATGCTAGTGGTGTAGTTATTGGGGCGGTACTTGGTCAACAGCATAAGAAGATCCTTCATCCTATCTACTATGCAAGCAAGACACTCAATGGAACACAAATGAATTACATTGTGACTGAGCAAGAGCTGCTCACCATTGTCTATGCTTTTGAAAAATTTCGAGCCTATTTGTTGGGGTCCAAAGTGATAGTTTACACCGATCATGCTGCTCTCCGCTATCTTATGGCAAAGAAGGATGCTAAACCAAGATTGATTAGGTGGGTCCTTTTGTTGCAAGAGTTTGACTTTGAAGACAAGGATCAGAAAAGGACAGAAAATCAAGTTGCGGATTACCTATCTAGGCTTGAGGAGGCAGGGAGACCAAAAGAATACCTTGAAATTAATGATGCCTTTCCAGATGAGCATATATTGGCATTGTCTAGCACATTCTCTCCTTGGTATGCCGACATCGCTAACTTTTTGGTTAGTGACCTTATTCCCAACGGATTGGAAGCTTATCAAAAGAAAAGGTTCTTGCGGGAGTGTATGCAGTACTATTGGGAGGAACCCTTTATGTTCCGTATTTGTGCCGACAACATCATTCGGTGGTGTGTTTCAGAAGATGAGGTAATTCCAATTCTCAAGGTATGCCATGACTCCTGGTTGGGAGCCATCATGGAGGAAATCATACTGCGGCAAAAGTGCTTGAATGTGGATAATATTGGCCATCGATCTACCAAGACGCAAATCGAATGGTCAAGGCATCTGATCAATGTCAAAGACAAGGGTCAATTTCTAAAAGACATGAGATGCCTATGAACTTTGTAATGGAGGTTGAGATCTTTGATGTGTGGGGGATAGACTTGATGGGTCCCTTCGTGAGCTCTTATGGCATGACACATATCTTGGTGGCTGTGGACTATGTCTCCAAATGGCCAAGGCAATCGCCATGCCCAACAATGAGGCAAGGAATGTGACCGCTTTCTTGAAGAAATATATATTCACACGGTTTAGTACTGCCAGGGCCATCCTTAGTGATGGTGGTTATCACTTTTGCAACAAGGCCTTCACTAGGCTGCTTGAAAAGTATGGAGTCAAATATAAGGTGGCCACACCTTATCATCCTCAGTCGAGTGGCCAAGTGGAAGTTTCAAACAAGGAGATCAAAAACATCCTAGCAAAAATGGTTAATGCAAACAGGACTGACTGGTCAAGGAAGCTAGATGATGCGTTGTGGGCATATCGCATAGTATTTAAGACTCCCATTGGCACCTCACCGCACCGGTTGGTTTTTGTTAAGGCGTGTCACTTGCCAGTGGAGCTTGAACACAAAGCCAAGTGGGCATTGAAAAAGTTGAATCTTCATTGTGCCGAAACTGCTAACCTAAGGATGACATAACTCAATGAGATGGAAGAATTCTGTCTCCATGCCTATAAGAGTGTAGCCATGTATAAGAAGAGAATGAAATTTGTTCATGACAAGATGATTTTGAAGCGGGAATTCAAATCCGAAGACTTGGTCTTACTCTTCAACTCAAGACTCAAGTTATTTCTGGGCAAACTCAAATCCAAATGGTCTGGCCCGTTCAAAGTTGTGAATGTGTCCCCCTATGGTGCTATTGAATTGGAGTCCAAGGACGGGACTCGAACTTTTAAAGTAAATGGCCAACGAGTCAAGCATTACCTCAGCACCATATGGAAAAGGCACTTGGTAGAATAATTTTCTCTCAAGGATAGTCCTATACCAACCCACACAACTGAGTAGCCCAAATAGGGTCAACATTGTCGTGCCGCGATGTTAAATCAAGCGCTTCTTGGGAGGCAACCCATGTGTGGTAACATTTTTTTTGTTAGTTTTTCATTTATGTAGGTTTAGTTGTTATTGTTGAGCAGGTTAACATATGTGTTAGAATGCAAGTAGCCCAAAGTACCATGAACCAAGGTGCAAGTACTAAGGTAAATGAAGAAAAGAGGTTTTGTGGTTTGCGGCAACTATGCGGTCGCATAATGACTTTGTGAACCACATAGTGGTCGCAGACACAATAAAAAAAATGGAAAGTTGGGTCCTAAAAAATGTAGTAAGATTTCAACTTCTGCGACTCGCATAGCAACTATGTGACCGCAGAACGCGTCGTAAAGTAAGGTTGAGCGACCTAGTCATTAATCCATTGCATAACACATATGCGATCGCATAATATATTATGGGATTCACTTGTCAGTCGCAAAATGCACAGGTGAAACCCTAAACCTTTCGCATACTAGTCGCACCCTCACTCTCACTCATACACAAGCACTGTACAACACGAACAAAATCAAAAACAAAAAAAACAAGGAGAAGAAAAAGAAAAGACCAAAAACACACACAATCACACAAAGAGGATTGGAATTTCATAGAGAACTCACTTGGTTCACATCTCGTACCGAAGTCTTCAATAGCTCAGATATCTGGTATGTAATTTTCCTCCCCTTTTTTTCTTAATTATGATTGAATAATATCATGTGCTTGCACCTCCCTTCTTTCCCTTCATTCTCAATCCTTTGTTGTGGGGATTTGGGTGAGTAGTTTGTGGGAAATTTCTCAATTTGAGTGTGAGGAACTCTGTGCGTGAGTAGGTTGACCCTTTTTGACTGAGGAAGACGATCTTTGTAGTCTGAAAAGTTGTCGCATATGGGTGCCCTAGCTGGCCTGTTGAGAATGCACTCTGCGGTTGAGTTTGCAATCGCACACTCATGTCACGGACTACGGCCATAAATTGCCCATCTGATGAGCACTAATGCAACCAACCTGCGGTCGCATAACTTGTTCTGCGGGCCCTTTCATGATCGCAAAATTGTTTTAACTCCTGAGTGCTTTAGTTATGCAATGAGTCTGCGGTTCGCATAGTTGTTATGCGATCGCATAACTCATTGCAAAAGTTTCTTGGTCCCTTAATACTTCCTCAATGTGATTCCCATGATGTATCAACCACTTACCCACAGTTTCATTGACCGGAATGGCACTCAAGAAGTCTCTCTCATTGCGATCACCTCTCGCTCGAGGAAATAAATGAGCTGTTGTTCTGAGCCAACAAGCACATCAATCCAAATGCTCCCAACCTGACACAGCTAGAAGGACATTTGAGCATTCCTCCCAGTCTGAAGAGGAGGAAGCAAATACCGATCTTGTGCCACCTATTGATCTTCATGCTGAAGCGCACTAGAAAAATATAGAAGATCTCAAGTTTAGGGTTGCCGACTCTCAGACCTTGTACAGGGAGGGCTTAGAAAAGAGAAAAATCCTGGAAGAAAAGCAGCTTAGCTTGAACGGTTTAAAAGAACATTACCCACATGTACTAGAAAACATCGAAAAAAGAGGGTGGGAGTCATTCAGTTAGGTCCCAGGAGAGTATAATGAAACACTCACACAGATATTCTATGCTGCCTATGATGCATCTAGGAACGCAGAACAAAAGAGAAACTGTAGGTTCCTAGAAACTGTTTTGGTCCACGGAGTTGAAGTCTTCTTTGATGCAGGGTCAATCAATGATGTATACTTCGAGGATTGGGAGCTAGGCACCACAGAATATGATGACAAGATTAAAAACAAGGAATCCGAGCGTGCTTGGGTAGCTTCTGTCATAGCTAAGGGAACTCCGCCCTGGATTGCACCTAAACAAAAGATCCACAAGAGGGATCTTACCCAAGAAGGTTGGTACTGGCTGAGTTTTGTGTGTTCCCATCTAATGCCCTCAAGAAATGAAATAGGTATAAGCATCAAGAAGGAACCCTCATTGCATGCATCATGACGGGCATCAAGGTTGATGTGGGCAAGATTATATACGTGAGATTAGGATTCGGGCGAACCAGAAAGTAACTTCGCTCCCTTTTCCATGCCTAATCAGTTCCTTGTGTAAAGTTGTAACGGTTCCTCCTATCCCCAAACATGATCTCATAGCAAAAGCTATTCAAGATATCGACATCCGCCGGATAAATGATGTTGCAGATACCATGGTCGACGATCCAACAGAGCCTTCACTCACTCCTCCTCCAGACTCAGCAACACTTGTTGCTCCCTTATTGCCTGACACTCCCTCAACACCGGCTACCTCCACATCCACTCCTAAGCAACCCACTCCACAGCCAACTGATGCCTTACCAGCTCTATCAAAGCTAGGTCTACTAGCCCAACATGCCAATACCAAAGTAGACAAATTGACAACTCCCAGCCCTCATCCGGCAAGCACTGGCCCCTATCCAAGCTTTGGTAAGCATTCTTCAACAACAACATCAATACTATGAAGATCGACTCAAGCACTTTGAAGTGCAACTTGAGAGGGTCGAGAGAGGCGAAGCTGGAGATATGCCTAAACTCCAGAAGGATGTTGCTGAGCTGAAATTAGAGTTGCACAAGATGCAAAATTTGGAGTTTGACTTGACCTCCTTTCTTCCGTAGGAAGGTGAGCAGGGCACTAGCACTTCCCACATTCCGAGCTTGGACCTGGATTTCACAAACCTTTTGACAGCTCCAGAAGCCCAGGGTACTGAGACTTCAAAGGTTTCGACTTCCGTTGCACACATTGACACTCCTTCAGAGGAAGGATCTAGAGAGTCCGAGGGGTAGACTGATGAGGGAGACAGTGAGGATGAGGAAACTGATGAGGAGTCATTGGTTGAGTAGACTAGGGATCAATGGGACAACAGAGGCAAATAAGTTGTAGTCTCTACAGATATACAGGATGAAGAGGAAGCAGATGTGCAGACAACAAT